AAATACTACTTCAAATGCACAGAAATAAAGAAACAATTCAAGAATCTAATTATAAAAGACAACAAGATCTTGTCACCATAAGCATATTAACATAAGTTAAACAGACAAAGCATAATTGTAGTTGAATGTAATAGGCAAAAAGATTTATTAACCAATAGTGACACTGAGGAAGTAGAAAATAAAAATAACCATACTGTAATTCAAATCATTTTCTTCTTTTATTTACCAGGCATTCATTTCTCTCGTTCGTCACTAGCTCAAAGGAGTTACTATTTAAAGCCAAATAACATTCCAGTTCAGTTCCGTTCATGTCTTGCTAATTCCAATATTAGTAGCTACAAAATTTCAAAATGATTCAATACATAAGCTCCTTTGCATCCTCTAGAAAATCAACAAATTGAGTCAACAGAACCTTTATTTCTCAATTTTGAAAAGCACTCTCATCACCAATTTAGTGCCCTTGAGTAATCTCCCTAAGAAAGTGACAAATACATCATGGTAACCCCCAATGCTAAATCCAAAGAGAGATAAGCTATATAAGAGTGCTGTATCAATTACATAGCCTAAAAACTAGAACTATAAGCGGGCAACAGATATTGTATGTCAGAAATACATCCACATTCCCATACATCCTCTAGATATTTCAGAGTTTCACACTATGGATTTAGATATTTCAGAGTTCCACACTATGGATTTGGATTTGAATAATAGCTTTTGAACCTATTTAGGAGAATCTAAATGACTAGATCCAATTGTTGTGGATAATGAGAAAAATATCTCTGTTTGTAATTTGTACTGTTGTCTGTTGGTGCTGATAATCAGTCAAGTTTATTGTCACTAGGCAAGATAGTTTGAGGGGAATGTTGGAATGCTTAACTGACTTTTTTTTATTCCCTATGATTGATAAAGATAGTTTTGGAAACTTCCTTTTAGTTCAGGGAACTCATTGTAACTGTTCCAAGAAGAGCATATTTGTAGTTCTCTAGAAGTTGTTTTAAAATAAGTAGATTTTCTCATGTGAGAGAGCATAACATTAGGTGATTCCAATCCTTAACCGAGATTCCCCTATGATATGAATTTAGTCAAGGATGAGATTAACAGGACCAAACACTAAAAAAAAATAACAGATCAATTAAGCAGTTGGGTGTTTCTCATCTACAATCTACCTAGCCTAGGCAGTAAGGAAAGATTTTTTTTCCTTTTTTGGAAACAGTATTGTATTATGAAAGGGGAATCCCTACCATGGTTTAAAATGTCCGTATATTTCCTGCTATGAATTTAGGAAAGGGTGAGATTAACATGATCAAACACTAAAAAAAGAACAAATCAATTAACCAGTTGGGTGTCTTTCATCTACAATCTACCTAGCCTAGGCGGTAAGGAAAGATTTTTTTTGCCTTTTTTGGAAACAGTATTGTATTGAAAGGGGAATCCCTGCCATGGTTTAAAATGCTCGTAAATTTTCTAATATGAATTTAGGCAAGGGTGAGATTAACATGACCAAACACTAAAATAGAACATACCAATTAAGCAGTTGGACAAGTGTCTCTCATCCACAATCTGCCTAGTCGAGGCAGTAAGGATAGATTCTTTTCTTTTCCTTTTTTGAAAAGGGTATTGTATTATGAAAGAGGAATCCCCACCATGGTTTAGAATGTCCATAGATTTCCTAATATTTCGACGACATAATTCCATTTCCATGGGTATCGACATGAAACATTACTGGAATCAACATATTCTCCAATGAAAGCCACTGGTGCTATGTGAAGTACAAGAGATAGTATTATAACTAGTGTTTTAAAAGCACAAGACACAAAAAAGGTGCAAGGTGAGGCGTGCGCCTTTTTAAGAAAGGCGCAAAAGTACAAAAAAAGCTAAAAAATAAAAAAAAAACGTAAGAAAATTAAAAAAAAATTCAAAAATTCAAAATATATTAAACATAATGTTAATAAAAAATATAAACATAAATTTTAAAATAAATGTTTTAAAAAACCAATTATCTAAAATTAAAATACATAAACATAACATGTAAAGTGTATTCGAATGAAAATTTAAAAATAAAAGCAAACATATAAAGCATTTTCAAGCATGTAAAACCCACAATCTCTTTTTTTACTTAATTGCATTGCTACAAGTAGCTAATGTGATGTAAAACATATTGCATTTTTGATTCTATGAGTTGCCTCGCCTCAAAAAAAAGGCAAAAAGCGCAAAATTTTGAAAAGGCACATGCCTGGGCTGAGGCGCAAGGCGCATCAGGCACATGCCTAGGCGCACCAGGCGTGCGCCTTTTGAAAGGGGTGCACCTAGGATCTAGGTGAGGCACATACCCCAAAATGTGCCTAGGACCTGGGTGAGGCGCATACCCTAAAATGCAACTCGCCTAGGCACCTAGGCACGCCTTTTAAATCACTGATTATAACATAAGTTGATGACAATATTTTATATATGTGGAGTGGTAGTTTTATTGCCCCCCTAAAGGAATAATAACCACTTTGCGCTTGCTTGAAATTCTTTTCAAATATGAAGTTAAAACTTTCAATCAAATCTTAATTTTTACTGTATAATAAATCATTTGGTTGATTTATTTGAACCATTTGCACTTTTTATGAGTTTGAGTTTTGCTTGAACTCACTACCATGCAATTTTGATAATTTTGAAGAAGAAATAATTTAAAACTGTCTATACTCCACCTATGCATCTTTTACCATGGCATAAAATAGCATTATACTTTTGCATATTTCACAATGTTTCCACCATGTTTATAATTTTACAATATTTGCATATAATGTTTCCAACATTTCCACCATGTTTCCTATATTCGGATGACCAATATTTCCAGCAACATTGACATTTTAAGCCTTGATCCCCACAAAAAGCAATGCCTACAGCTCCTTAAGGGAGTAAAAGAAAGATGATATTCTTTAATTAACTAAATCAAACATGTGACATAATGAGTTCTCTACATTAGTCATGATTTGTGAAAACATCCTAGTCACTCTTACATTTCTACCACTCTAAGGCATGATCCATCATTTGCAACAAACCCATGAAGGTCTCCTGCTTCTATACAGCTCCAACCGGGTTTCTTTTTCAAATATTTCTCAGTCATGGCCCTTCGAATAGTTTCCACTTCAGTCCACCTCTGAACACTGGCATGGACATTGCTCAGTAAAGTATGATAACCAGCATTATCAGGTTCCAACTCCAGGATTCGTTGTGCTACATATGCCCCAATTTTGTCATCTGAATAAACCCTAGATGCAGCAAGAAGAGCACCCCAGATCCGACTATCAGGCTTCACCACCATGTTCACAATTATACTCAGGGCTTCCTGGAGTTTTCCTGATCGACCAAGTAGATCCACCATGCAGGTGTAGTGGTATACATCAGGTTCAATGTTGTATCTCTGCCTCATATAGCCAAAAACTCTACAACCTTCACTCACGAGGCCAGAGTGGCTACACGCAGAGAGTAAGCTTAAGAAGGTGACACTGTTTGGTTTGACCCCTTCCCTCTCCATCTGATCAAAGAGTTTCAAAGCCTCAAAACCAAGCCCATGGGTGCCATAGGCCTCGATCATTGAACTCCATGCTACAACATCCTTGACAACCATTTGATCAAAACACCTTCTTGCCCAAACTATGCTACCACATTTTGCATACATGTTAAGGATGGAGGTTTCCATGGGAGCACTATCTTCTCTAGAGATGTAAAACATATTCCTTACCATGTAGCCATGGACTCCTTTACCCAATTGGAGAGCACCCAGGTGAGTATATACAAGGACAAGGTTTCTTAGGATGTCAGGCTCAAGGTTCAGACCCACAATTTGCATTTGCTGAGATAACTCGATTGCTTCTTTAAAATACCCATTCTGAACAAAACCCGACATCATAGCACTCCAAGTGATTCTATTTTTCTGAGAAGTTTCTTTGAATAATTGAGCTGATATATCCAACTCCCCACACTTCGCATAAAGATCCACTATAGCGGTCTGCAGAACTATGTCACAGAGTCCAGTTTTGACTGCATAACCACATATCATTTCACCTTGAAGAAGATTCCCACACTTGGCAAAGGCTGAGATGACCAAGGATAATGTTTCAAGGCTAGGGTTCACTTCAATCTGCATTTTCGAAAAGATCTCGGCCACTTTTGTAACATCTCCTTTCTTGGAATAACCAGAAATCATGATATTCCACGAAATAATATCCCTCTTGTTGGTCATGCAAAAAAGATTTTCTGCATTTTTAATATTTCCCATCTTAGCATACATTGTCAAGATCGAGTTCTGCAGAGATCCTTTACTCTCTAACCCTTTTCTGATCACATAAGCATGAAGTTCCCTCCCTTTAGTTGCATTCTCAGAGAGAGAACATGCTTGCAACATAATCATCAGCGTCACCGAATTCGGTTCCAACTCTCTCATCTGCATCTCACGGAATAATTGAAAACAACTAACAATGTCTCTAGACCAAACATAACCACATATCATCGATGTCCAAGAAACCAAATCTCTGTGAGACATCTCATCAAACACCCGACGGGCGGAGAAAACGGAGCCACATCTAATGTACATCTCAATCACTGTATTGCAGAAATATATATCTAAGTCAAATCCCATCTGAATTGCGAGTTTATGAACCATTTTTCCATAATCAAGAAGACCCCCGAGCGACGAAATGGCTCTATGAATAACAGGAAACGTAAAATTATCATGTGAAACACCCAGTTCTCGCATCTCTCGGTAAAGGAAAAGAGCATCGTTGAACAAACCAAAATCAACATGAGCTTTAACGATGGAATTCCACGTGAACGTATTGGCTTCCGGCAAGGACCTAAAAACAGAGACGGCACTTTTGATATCGTCGAACTGGGTATACAGGGTAATTAGTTTGGGCGCAGAAGAAATGGGTTGAAACCCAGTGCACAGTATAAGAGCGTGGACCTGTTTGAGTGTTTTTAGGTCTGTACATGAATGTAAAACAGGAGAGAATACAGTTTTACTGAGGTTACGATGATGGTCCGTCAGGTTATAGCAGTGCCGTAGCAGAGAAAATCTAACGTTGGAAGAAAGAGGAAAGAAACGATGTATCGGAGAAAGGCGGGAAAAGCAACGATGTGACAAGCCATGAACAAGAATCGTTATATAGACGAGCTGAAAGGAGAAGAAGCAAGTTGTCGATGCAATAACCACAGCCTCGCAGGCAAGGGGCACAACATCAAACAGCTCGCACAAGCAGAATGAGTTCTGCTCAAAGTGATACCCGATGGGGTTGGGTGCGGAGCCGGAGGTTGCCTTTGCGGAGACGGGGGCGGGGATGGGATTAACAGTGATACCCGACCGGTACGGGGACAAGGAGTGAATTATCAGCTCCGCCCTAATCCCCATTATATATATTAAATATATATTATATAATATTTTTATATTTATAAAATTTTCCTTTATTTTAAGGAAATTTATTTTTTAAGAGCTTTTAATTTAAAGGGTAAATTTGTTAAAGTAGCCTCTTATGGTTTAGCTAATTGACCAATTCCACCCTTACTGCTAGACTATTGCCTTAGAGTATCCCTATTGTTTCGGACAATTACTTTTGCCCCTA